ATGATTTGTTCTTTACAAATCCATGCTGGCTGTTACCTATCACCTTATTATCTCCCAGATGTTTGCAGATGGATTCCTTAATTACTTGATCCATTATCTTTCCTGACACAGAAGTTTAACTGACTGGTCTGTAGTTTCCTAGGTTGTTTTTATTTCCATTTTTATAGATGGGGACTATATTTGCCCTTTTCCAGTCTTCTGGAATCTCTCCTGACTGCCATGATTTTTCAAAGATGATAGCTAAAGGCTCAGATACTTCCTCTATCAGTTCCTTGAATATTCTAGGATGCATTTCATCAAGCCCTGATGACTTGAAGACATCTAACTTCTCTAAGTAATTTTTAACTTGTTCTTTTAAAATTTTATCTTCTAAACCTACCCCCTTCCTACTAGCATTCACTATGTTAGGCATTCCTTCATCATCAGACTTCTTGGTGAAGAATGAAACAAAGAAGTCCTTAAGCACCCGCTGCCATTTCCAAGTTTCCTGTTATTGTTTCTCCCTCCGCACTGAGCAGTGGGAGGACAGTGGGCAGGTGGTGATACTGTATATAGACAGGATACACAAGAGGCACTGGGTGAGAGCATGGTGCTGTACAGATGGGAGGACATGGGGGGGTGGAGGAATGTGCTGTACAGAGAGGGGGACACAAGGACAGTGGTGTGGGGATGATGCTCTAGCGCTGTAGGGGTGCAAGGGCACTCGTGAGGAGCTGGTGCTCAACAGTTGGGAGGGGTGGGTCTGTGAGGGCAGTAGTGAGGAGACAGGACATGTAAGAAGGAAAAGTGCTGTGCAGCTGTGGGTTCAAAAAGTTAGTGGTGAGGGGATTGTGTTGTTGGTTGGTGGGACCGTGGGGCTGCAAAGGCAGAGCTGAAGGGATGTTGCTGTGGAGATGAGAGGGCAATGTTAGGGGATGGTGTCATGGGGGATATGAAGGCTGCAATGAAGAAACGGTGCTGAGGGGGCATGGAGAGGTAAGGGCTAGGGTTGCCAATTTTCGACTTCCACAAAACCAAACACCCTGGCTACGTCTAGACTGGCATGATTTTCCGGAAATGCTTTTAACGGAAATGTTTTCCATTAAAAGCATTTTTGGAAAAGCACATCTAGATTGGCACGGATGCTTTTCCGCAAAAGCATCCGTGGCCAATCTAGACGCGCTTTTCCGCAAAAAAGCCCCGATCGCCATTTTCGCGATCATGGCTTTTTTTGCGGAAAACAAATCTCAGCTGTCTACATTGGCCCTTTTGTGCAGGGGAATTGGTCCTGCCTAGAGCAGGGGGGGCTGGACTTGATGATTTTCTGAGGTCTCTTCTAGTTCTATGATTCTATGAAAAGTTTTGCCCAAACGGGAGCAGCATTGTATTTCCGCAAAAAGCACCGATTTCTTACAGTAGGAAGTCAGTGCTTTTGCAGAAATTCAAGCGGCCAGTGTAGACAGCTGGCAAGTTTTTCCAGAAAAGCAGCTGATTTTCCAGAAAACCTGGCCAGTCTAGACACAGCCCCTTGCCCCACCCTGTGCTCCCCAACCCAGCTCACTCCATTGCTCTGTTGGGAGAGCTCTCCACCCTCACGCACTATCCCTGGGCTGGGGCAGGGCTTGTGCTCTGGGGGGGGCTGGAGGCTCCTG